CTTATCGAATCGGCCAAATAATCATTCGGTCAATTTTTTACCAGATGTCCCAAAATTTATGAGAACAGCTGTAAATTGCCAATTTGCAGACCACTACCAAGTATTAACTCTAATTTGGCCCATAACGATATCTATGAAGCAATTTTAAGCAGTTAAACGGTTCATGTGATACAAAATTTAAGTAAAAAATTAAATTGAAGTCAGGCTAGGTTAGGATTTAAGGTTTGGGTAAAATACAGTTTATGCTAAAATGTTGCAGACTCTATTTTGTTAGAACCCCCAAAAAAATAAGTATCAGCGCTTCTTATATTAATGTACAAATAAAAATTGTATATTAAAATTATCGATTAATATCAATCTTCGGTTTATTTTCTTCGCTGGTTTGCATAAATCAGATAAAGGATTAACACTAAAAAATGCTGGTGAAATTAAACCAGTGGTAAAATTGATGTTGAATTGGTGAAATTCGGTGAAATTAATTTTACCATCATCTCTAATTAATATATCCATTTTGCCTTGTTTTGCAATATAGCAAGGAATGAACTAATAATTCCAGCGTAATTATTTCAAAAAATTTTTAATGGAATTGATAAATATTGTTGAATAGTCTTCCATTGTGCTCTTTAGCTGAAAGAAAAAAATTACATCACTAATTGTGTTAAAATCAGCTTTGATTTAACAACAATGACGGAACTAATTGATGCCATTCAGGCATTGTTTTATTGCGATAATATAAAACGTGCAGCATAAAAGAAATGCGTAAGGAGATTATGCTTGATCTTCCCAATCGTGCTAATATTCTGCATTATATACTTCCGAATATCGGCTCACTGATTTCGAGTTTCTTCTAATCTTTTAACTATGAATAGGCTAGTATCCAAGAACCTTTCAACGCAATTCACCAGGCAAGTCTCCTCTCCACGATCAATCTTATTACCAATCTTGGTGATACATTTATCCCAACAGAGATCAGTAAAGGTATGGATCGATTGTTGAAGACGCATTTTAGCATTCTCTCCTTCGAGAAATTTGGCAAGTTCTTTTTGGGAAGCTTCGTCAAATTCGGGGTTACCGGATTTTGTTGACCTGTAACCACTTGACATTGCCGGTCAGCTTGCTTTTTTGAATTATACGAGATGTATTTTTTTTTTCTAGATGGTTATTAAGGCAAACATCGATCGATATGCAATCAGTGAAAATTTCAAAAATTTCACCCACACGTGATTTAAAGCCAATCGCATTACAAGATCAGGTGTAACGTAACACGATCAGGCAAATTCAAAACGTCAAAAATCGCTAAAATTACATATGAAACCACCTGCGCATTAACAAAAAGTTTTTCTTGAGCAATTTTACAATATATCACTTTAACTTCCAACCTTAATATAAATCTTACTAAGGTGTCTGTCATAGTGGCAAAGTCATGCCAATAGTGGCATACTACCAGTGGTATGCCAAATTTGTTTTTGGCATACCACTTGGTATAGTATAAAAAAACTATATTTATAAGGGAATATTAGTGTAGAACTATAGTACTATAGTGCTACTCTATATGTAAATACAAGATTGGTGTAACATGTAAATCAAAACAATCTAGTCTTTACAAAAATAAAGCTTTTAATTAGATTTAGGTTAAAACTAGAGTTAAGGTTAGGCAAGGTATAGTTTAAACTAAAATTTTACAAGAAATTTTTTTTATTAGAACACAAAAGTTGGCTTTTTAATTAAAATTTTAAGATAGAACTAAATTTTTAAAAGTTTATTGTTTTTGTTATACAAAGAGGTGATTTGCATGTTACACCTAATCTTAAATTTTAATTGGTTACAATACCCTAGCATCATAGTACTATAGCACTATAAAATAAAACTCTATTTATAATATCTATACTATATATTCGAGATTATTAATAATATTTAAGGGTAGGGTATATGCAGTGTTGGGCTTGGTTATTGGACATTGGATTACACTTGTCTAGTCTAGTTCAATTCGTTGAATCAAAAAGTATTGGACAATAAATATTATATAATATATAAATCAATATATAATTATTATTAAACATATTTGAACTGGATATATGGGCTAGATGCTGAGAAAAGGGCCAAAAATAACAAAAAAAAATTTTTAAAAAATTAATTTTTATATTATAAATTTAATAATAAATCATAAAAAAATATAAACTTTAAAAAGCTATACTGCCAGTTAAATACACACTTCCTGATAATTATTTGTACTAAAATTTTGATTAACAGAAACAGAAACTTGTTAGAAAAAAGTAGAAGAGATGATTATACAAGTAACAGTTTTTATAGAAGTCAAGATGGTCTTTATTTGCTTCTTGTCACTAGACTTCTCTATATATTCAGCAAGCAAGTTAAAAGCATTTCTGTACAAGATAACTGGTAGAAAGTAATATTCTTGTACAGAAAATTTTAATAAAAGTATAGCTTTTGTTGACAAAGTAAAAGATAGTTGGTCTAAAAAAGAATAATAAGTAAGTTTTCAACATACTCTCTATCAAAGTTTAAGGATACTTGCAAACTAAACCTTCTCTTAACACCTTATTTTTTGTACTTCATGAAATTTTCACCAAAAAGTAAAAATAGAGCATACCCCAACAAAGGATCAACACAACAATCACTTCCAAGAAAGAAAAAATATATACACGTATATGTATTTACTTTGAAACTAATAATGTATAATTATTTTTTAATTCTACATAACAAAGAATTTTATATAAATATATTGCAAAGTTTTGTCTAAGTTATACTAAAAATTTTGAATTTGGATCTCTACTCAAGAATAGATGGTTTTATGTTTTATATTCTAGATATAGATATAAATAGCTAGTATAGAGTTTAAACTGGTTTATTTAATAGTACTATATAATTTTTATAGACTATATAGGCTTAATAGTATTATCTTTATTTTTTTCTTTTCTTTTGTTTTGTTTTTGTATTTGTTTTATTTGGTTTTTTTTCTGTTTTAAATGGATTAAAATCTAGAAGTTGAGATATAACTTCTTTTAATTTGTTTGTCTTTTGTATTTATGTTAGTGTTTTTTTTTTAAAAAAAAAGTTAATGTAAATAGAA